TTTTTTTTTTTTTTTTCATTTTGTCGTGCCTCCTGCGCGCGCCTATATTCGAGCGGACGAATTTTGCCGCGCCCGCCGCCTCGCGGGAACGACGTTCCTGGCGATGCGTACGGTCGGAATCATCGCCACAGCCGCTAATTTAAATTCCTTTCGCTTAGAGAAATTCGATACTTTCTGCTTTCGTTTTGAAGAGTACTTGACAAGTATATTGAAAAGTATCGACGATCTCTTGTAGACTGTCTCTTTTTTTTTTTTTTTTTTTCGTTTGTTATCCCGTTTGAGAAAGCAGTTACACAAAGTGTTTTGTGTGTGACTCGTGTTTCGTTCGATGATCCATCTCTCAGGTGATCCAAAGTAGGACACCTCCGCATCTCTCCCGGGCAGGATTCTAAATTCATCCACCTTCGCTCAACTCTCTGCTTTCTACTCGTCACAAAGGGATCATCTGGCGCGGGATATCGAGTTTTGTATGACCCCCCGTCTAACTCGCTCCGCGGGGACTCCCCATCAGTAATACATTATGCAGATAATCTAAATAGAACCAACGTATATCTTTTCTAGGTACTTCTCGCGCATTCAGTTACTGAAATTCAAGCTCTCCCCTTTCTACGTTTTCCTCTTTTCCGTCCGCCCCTTTTCTCGCTTATTCATTTTTTTTTTTTTTTTTTTTTTTTTTATTTCGATTCATCCGTTCGAAACCCTCTGTCAAGAAACGGAGCGCCTTTCATTCACGTTGTCTGTCCCGAACTCTCTTCTTCGCCATTAATATTGACCTCAGGCAAGAGATATTCGTTTCTCGAGTATCAGCTGTTACCCGAAATTTGCGCGGATGAAAAATCCAGCTGTGAAAGACTTAATTGCGAGAGTCGCAATAATTCCTCGAGATATAATATCCCGGAATAATCCGGCTTGCGCGTTACCGTCGTCTTCGATAATTAATTCGACAGAACCACGGGGGAGTTGGAGTCGCGAGGGAGCGTTTTTAATTAACGGATAATCGTGGGCACGTCCAGAAGACAATGGCTCGTGAAAGCTCTTCTACCAGGAACGGGAACATTGATTGGCGATCATTAGGAGCGTTCATGACTTGTTCCGTCACAGTCCATGAATTTTCCTTTCGTCGATTTTCATGCGCTGTTCGTCCGTTGCTGGAAAAAAAAAAAAAAAAAACAAGAAGAAAAAAATTGAAGAACACAATAGGCGCGCGAGAAAGACGAGCAGCGTGTTTTGTCGTGTTATGTTTGCCGGCACAGTTTTTTCAGCGCAACTGGTATCGATTTTTTTAGTTTACGACAACATCGTTGCGTGGACAACACGTGCGTTGACCTTTTATCTGCGCGGTGACGCGAAGTTGCTGTCCACCGATGCGACATTGACAATGGCGCGAACAGACAGGTCTAACGAACCCCGCTGCGTCGTTCCGTAACTTCCTGTCCCACCTATGATAGACAGATTTGTGTTCTGCCTACACGCGTTTAGCATTAAAATGATGTAGCAATTAAACGGATACGATCGGACGTTCGTGTAATGTAAATGCGCACGCGTTAGCATTTTTGTGAATTTAATTTCAAAAGATATGTTTGGTTGACTTAACGGAGTGGTGTGTACATACACACACACGTACAGAAAAAGGTAATTTACGCCTCTTACATTTGAGATTACTCCAACCAAATGTGGTTGTATAAATACATCGCAGCCAGTTTGCTCGGATGTTAAGAGGAGAAACGCGCCGAGAACCTGCTAATTGGACGACTTTCATTTAGCGACACGAATCTCTCGCGGGTGCTCGCCTAGGTGGAAGTCCCGCTGTTAGACCTATTTTCCATTGTTGACTGCAGTCGATGAAGGAGGGCCGCCTTCTCATCGACGCCGTTTCAGGTTCTTGACCGCGTTTCTTTATGTAATGTGATCGCGGTTTTCGTCTTTTTGTTCTTTTTTTTTTTTTCTTTTCGAGAAATCGTTCCTCAATTGGATATCGATATGCAATTGTATGGGATCGCGTGTAATTAGGGGCGGAGAATCCCGCCGGGAGGTCGAAGAATACATCGATTTCTGTCATTGCGCGTTTAACCGGCGGGGGTCACTGCACCGCTTATAAACGTCCCGTAGATCCTGATGGCAAATTATAAATCGTCCGTAATGAGTGCGCCGCCTTTAAACCGTTACGGGCTTACAGTTAATTCTCTTCGTGACTAACAGCGATGATCTTTTTGCCGAGCCGAGAAATGGAAGTGTTCTTGCAATCCGCCTCGGATTGAACACCTCGCGAAAACATAACCGCGCGCGCGCGCGCGCATTATTCCGTCGGATTTCACAGATTGTTTTTTCGCGAATTTTTTGAAACACAAAGCGAGCTCTCCACGCGCGACACGACGTTCGATCGCTGACGACGACGAGCGCGCATATTTATGGTACATGCGGCGCGCGGGTATAATACAGTCGTGCCACATTTGCAGCCAGGCGAATCTATCGCGCGCCTCGCATTGTTCCGACGCTAACGAGACACGCTTTAATTATTTCCACATTTGTTTTGCGATGCGAAACGTCTCCGGTTATTTTCTGACGCGTCGTCAAGTTTTCCGTTTGTCGATAGCGCGCGTTTATTTTAAGTACGTGCGAAAGCGACGCGACGCGCGTCGATATCTTTCACTTCTTCGTGTTCCGTTGGCCTGATTCCGCTCGTCCGTGAAAATTGCATTTATTTATTATCCGCATCGTCAGTTTCCTGAATCGATTATTTTGGGACATTCGTGCCGCGCCGGGTTTTTCTTTTTTTTTTTTTTTACACGTAAACGAACGAATGAAGCGGAAAAACTCAATCGGATTTCATGTACTGTATACGTAATACATTTTGTCGCAGTTTGAGTGCCAGGATCTCTCGGGATCGCATCTCGCGAAGAGCGAAAACGCAAAATGAACGAGAGCGTCAGAAACATAATCGCCCGTGGCGTCATTTCTTGGACGCGCTTATCAGACCGCGCTTATCGGAACGGAGTTCTCTCGCTCGCACACGTGTGCCGTCAACACCGACGCACATAGACGACTTGCGCTCGAAGCCACCCACGTTAACGCTTTGTCTCCGATTACTAAATCGCGTGTTTAGTCTGCGCGAGAGAGAGAGAGAGAGAGAGAGAGAAAGAAAGAGCGAGGGAGGGATAAACGCGGGAGAGGACGCGAAGATGGATTGCAGTAGGCGAAGAGATGGGCGAGGCTAAAAGAAACTGCGCCACAATAACTAATATCCGATCGGAGCGTCGAAATAATCGAGCGGCGAAGCGCGATGAAAGCGCGTCGACAGATAGCCAGGACGAAACTTGGCGAGGATACTTCTGATATATAATTAATTTTTATTTTCACTTGACGGGGTGACCTCAATATGAGCGAAGAGAGATGCGGGTCAGTTCGTTGATAATTGTCTCTTGGAGCGCGAATGCCGATTGATTTCTGAACAGAGTCTTTGTTACGGGGGAAGTACATCTGTTTTTATCGTGTTTTTTTTTTTTTTTTTTTTTTTTTTTTTTTTTTTTTAATATACACAGAATGTTAAAAAAAGCTCATATATAATTATCTCGAATCTTACAAGCGTCTTACACAAATTAGAGCTTGCTCACGCAAGGGTGAAGCTGCGCAACCATACATGCAAACCTTGACTTTCACGCCAATAATTTCATTATTTAATATAGGTAACGAAAATAGCTGTGATCTACGCGCGCGCTTCTCTTTTATTATATAATTTATAAATATATATAGTTATTATATTTATATACAAAAGCCCCCTCCGGCTCGCATTACAACGAGCGCTCCGCTCCGTCTTCTGATTACAGAGTCCTGGAACGTTGCACAAAGATGTCGGCGGTGCTGGTACGAAGGTCAGCGAGAAAACGGTCGGTGGCGTCGGCACGGCGACCCTCACCACGCTCTCCTCCATTAATAACGCGTCCAACACCGGCCGTAACAAAAACAACCCCGTATCTCACGAGGTAAGCTAACAGGCGCGAGCAAACGCAAACGCGCGCGGAGGAAAGACGAGCGCGAGAGATCCCCGCGTATTGATCATAGCCGGGCGATACGTCATCCCGGGGGCCCCGCAGATGACTTCGATAATTAACCGGTCCTGCGTCTGAATTTATTGCCCATTAATCCGCTCGCATTCACCGGGCGTGTATGCTTGCGAGAAGGAGGAGGAATCGAGCCTTTCCGCCTCGCGATATCTACACGGTCTTGTGTGCGCGCCGCGCCGCGGTTGTGTGCGCGCACCGCGCGCAGGCACACGACATTATTCAGTGCATGACTTATTGGACGCAGTACGAAGTACCGTTTACAATTTAGTTCTACTTCTGCCTTTGTCGCTCGCTCTCGGCTCGCATAAAAGGAGAGACTTTTACTCGCATGATAAGAATCTTCGTCCCGACGAAAGTGGCGCGGTCACTGTCAAAATTTTCATCCGTCACGTTTTCTCACAAAATTTCGATACTTCCCGAGCGGAAGTTCAGCATTTACTCGCGATATATAAAACAAGAGAAAACGGGGAGAAAAAAAAAACATGATTAATCACCGGTGAACCAGCATCAGCGCGCAGCAGCACTTATGTACGTACTACGTTTCCACTCGCGCCTTTGTTCGCGCGCAACGCGAAAGTACGGAATCCGCGCTGTGTACACGGAACAAAAAGTTTCTCGCGCTGATGACGCGGATCGGTTCGCACGCGTTGACTGTTGTTATCATACGGACACACAATGCGCACGCCGGGCCCGTTCACGTAGGATTTTATTGGCCATTGTTAACGAAAAGGAAAATTGCGATATAAACGCGCGCGCGCGCGCGCGCGCGTGCGCGTATGTTTATCAGTTGTCCGCATAAATTTATAGAATAGAATTCGCGTCCCTTCGCGGTAATCGGCGTCGCAACTCGCCGCGCGATTTTTATTTAACGGTTTTATCGCCGATTTATTGCGTGGCGAAGGAAAAAAAGAAAAGAAAGAGCGAGAGAGAGAGAACCGGACTCTCACCGCCACGGCGACGCTACTCGGATGGAACTAATTGAAAATTGTTGCCGCGGGCTACCTGTTAGGTCGCGATAAATCGTGTCTCTGACGTAGGCCTGGTGCACGCTACGGATTGCCTCTCTCGTTGCATTGCGGTTTCGGGCGAAGCCGTGTCGCGCGAGCCGAGCGTCTCTGACATGCTTCGTGAAACGGTACTCAATTTCTTGCGCTTGATTTCGTCGTCCTTTGGCGCGCGAAATGGCCCGAACAGTGTGTATATCGCGTCGTCGTTGTTGTTGTAAAGCAGTTTGCCGCCGCGTGTTATCGCATCCACGACAATATAGCCGATGCAATTAGAAGCATGTTGTTCGAAACAGAAACGATATTCTTTAACGACGACGATCCATCGCGAGCGAAATCAGACCGTGAAATGATACGTCGGCTTTTCCCGCAGCGGCGGTCCTGATACTTTTTTTTTTTTGTTTTTTTTGTCGTTCTGATTTAGTTTGATTTATAAACCTCGAGAGTCTGAGGTGACGTCGCGCGCGTTTCTTGCGACCTTGCGGAGGACGTCGTCACATTCGCAGAGTTCGCAATCGACGCGCGGTTCTGTCCGAGACACACAAGCGCATATTTAATATCTCCGCGCTTACTTATTAAGACGCAAAAAGATCTCTCTCTCTCTCTCTCTTGTAACCACTGCGGTCCGCGACCGTTGTCACTGATTAATTTGTTCAACCGCATTGTCATTAACCCTCACTCGTGCGACCTCAATTCCGCCGTGTATCATTTTTTACATCTCGTCGGACGCGCATATATTCGCCACGTCATCTGTCGTTTGTTTCTTCTTAATGTCCAGCGTGCGTTCTTTTTTTTCGTGAATCCATTACGTGAGACGACGAGACGATCGAGTTTCGTTGCGCAACTTTGCTCGATCGCGGCGATCCCTCTCTCATGCGCGGTTTTCAGAAGCGGTTTATTAATACACGACACAAGAGAGTGACTTACACGCGAAAGAAGACACTTTTTGTCTGTCGGATTATAACGACGGCATTTAATGCACATATATATATATATATATATATATATATATATTTATAATGTCCCATGTGTATGTGTGTGTATGTGTGCGTGCGCGTCCGATAGAGATGGACATACGCGCGTGATCACATTTCGCACACATTCGCGGCTCAACCGTTACTTGCGGCACGTTACACACGCGGGTAGGTTACATACATAACCGTCACGGTTTATCGAGCTCTCGGACTAATTCATACGTGAATTTAGAAAGTCCGGTGCGCGCGGGATTTGCAGTTAATTGTTGAGCCGTGCTTGTGCAATTGCCACGGGCGCGAAAGCCAAACGCGGCGCTCTTCTCTCTCCGGTTACTGTCATTTTGCAAAACGAAAGCGTTCATTTGAACCGGCCGCGGTGCCCCCCGCGAGAGATTGACGCGCTTTGCAAATTAAAGAGCGCACAATGCCCTCGCGCGCCTTTCCTTTCAATATTACGTTAAATTGTTCTCAGTGATTTTCTTCGATGTGATTTTTTTTAGTTTTAATTACGTTACTTATAATTTATAGGTTCTTTTTTTTTTTTTTTTTTTTTATTGCAATACGAGGATATTATTTTGGTCTCTGTGTTTTAATATTGATGACCTTTCTCGATGTGAATAATGATATATTGAGCACTCTCTCGATGTCAATAGCAACGATGACGGTCGTCTCTCTCTCTGGATACAATAGATATTGATCGTAGGAGTCTTATAAGGACAGAGACCGATCATAAAAGCTCTGACGAGAATCCCCGAGGGATGTCTTTGGCGTAAATGGCGCGAATAGAGACGATGCTCCTTTCCGAAGACGTGATTTTCACGTATCTCTTCTAAATAGTGTACAATATCGTAACGCAACGAAGATAATGCCGCGCGCTACTTGCAATATTATACCCGGAACACATTGCGAGAAAGAATAATCAGTTAACCGAGAAAGTAAGTCGTAGATACGATTCGTAATCGTAGATTGAATTTTTTTAATTTTCTTCTTTTTTTGTGTTTAGAAAATTATTTTCTACACAACTCGCTCGCTGCAAACTTCCTTAGTATCTACTTCCTGTTTCATATGATACGATTAATCTCTTATTAGAGTTTACAAACATCTCTCGTGTACGCAGCTCGGACTTACGTAAAGAAACCGTGATATTCGCGTTCATAATAATTCATACGTAACTCGCCGGATAGATTTACAGGTCTCGTGAGTGAGATTTTACACGAAACGACAGGGCGGTTGCGTTACACACAGAAGAAATCAATGTGTGTGTGTGTTGTATAGGTTCAGGACGAAGCGTCGAGTGAGCTGCAAACTGCATAGTTCACCGACGGGATGAAAAATATATTATTTATAAATTTATATGAAATAAATTTTTATTAATTTTATGCGCGACGCGTTAAAAGCGCGAGTGTAATTCGATTCCCCGCGTGGAAAGCGTGGATTATTTATCCGTGTCAGATTCTGTTTTACCGCTGTTTAAAATCACGGATGATGAATGCGTCCGATGATGCGGAAAAATGCACGCGCGTGTGTGTATGTTATATGTAATTGCACACGGAGGTCTCCGCTTCTGATGCTTTGGGGCGATTGTTTTCGGATTCCTCGTCGACACGCATCAATGCACGCTCTGACGTGTGTATATCGTTGATTACTCTAATCAAGAGAGCGTACGTCGTTCAATTACACCGTCGGTGGCACCGTCGTGCGATACTCGTGATAATATACATGTGAAAATAAATTTTGTTCACATATTCATTCGCGTTCAACCTGAATATCAACTATGCGCGTGCGGTTGAATGTTAAATGAAGTTTTTCCTTTGCGGTAACACACGCGAAACTTAAATATACACGCGACAATTAATTAAATCACAACGAATAAGTTCGTTTAATTTCGAGAGTGGATTTATTTATGTTTATATTAAAACATAATAAAATTTCATATCTCGCATATGAAATTTATTTTCGCTATTTATTTTACATTGTTCCGCGCTCTTTGCGTGCTCTAATTATTATAATAAAATGTTATTTCGCCACTTGGCGGTTTTGCTTCCGCGGAAAATTGCAATTTTTTTTTTTTTTTTCAATTATTCGCGGTAATCAACGCTTTGCGAGATTTCGAGCGATCAAGAGGCAAAGTTGTTGTTAATTAAAGACGCACGCGGTTTACTTTCACGCTAATTAAATTCGCGTATTACTTATTATGCGCTCCGCGCGCTCTGACGTCGAGCGGAGTCGATTGTTCGCAATTCAACTGCGTTAAATGCGACATCAAGGATTCAGTGCGTAAGTTAATAAAGCCGCCGCCGCCGCCACCGCCGTTGTTTGTCGTCATGCCTCTGCTGTGCCACAACGGCGACGAACGTCATGCGACCATAAGAAGCCCTAGCGAGAACCATAAGCGTGCACAAGTGCGGCGCGTAATCCGATCGCCTCGCATTGTATCTCGGATTTCGCGATAAATATATGTTACCGGCGGGTTATCCCGCTGATGTTAACGATCCTAGGCAAAAGTAACACAACACTCGGGATATTAGCGTGTTTCTCCCCGCCTGACTTTTACGGGAGGGTAAACTTGTCGTTTTTCCGGCGCCGTCGCTTGCCACACTCCGAGTTAGGACGTGCACGAAGCTTATAAAGGCGAGCAGGTGAGAGAGAGAGAAAGAGAGGAGAGACACGTCACAGAGTCAATATTGAAGGAAAAACGTCGAGAGATGGGAACGACATGATTATTGGCTCGGTTACACCGCAAACGAGTACTCTGCTATTTATGATCGCTCGAAGGAGCCAATTTTCGTACTTAAAGTAATTTCGCTAAACAACGGGACGTGTATATTTCTCGGAGTTATTACGGCCGCGTGTGTTTAAGTTGTGATTTTGAATAAGAAGATCGTGTCGTACCTTCGTGTTTTCTGAGAGAAACCGCGCGTGTGTCTCTCTCTCTCTCTCT